TCCTCTTCCTCCCTCCCTTCCTTCCTTTGCTCCCAGTTATGAGTGAGGACATGTGGTATTTCTCTTTCCTTGTCTGACTTATTTCACTTAACATAATTTTCTCCAGACTCATCCATGTTGCTGCAAATGGCAGAATTTCATTCTTTTTTATGGCGTAGTAGTACTCAATTGTGTATATATACTACAATTTCCTTATGTAGTTGTCCGTCGATGACACTTAAGTTGGTTCCATATTTTGGCTACTGTAAATAGAGCTGCGGTGAACATGGGCGTGCGGGTATCCCTTCAACATGATGATTTCCATTCCTTTGGATATATGCCCCACAGTGGGATTGCTGGATCATATGGCAGCTCTATCTGTAGCTGTCTGAGGAGCCTCCATCCTGTTCTCCATAATGGCTGTGCTTACTCTCCCACCAACAGTGTAGAAGAGTCCCCTTTCTTTTTTTTTTTTTTTTTTGTCTTTTTCCGTGTCCGGCAACGGACTGCAACCCTCAGTGTTGCCCCTGTACCGGACCAGGGACCGGCAACGGGATTGCAACCCTCGGCGTTGCCCCCGCGCCTGGCTTAGCCAGTGAGCAAGAACCGGTCCATGTGGGATCCGAACCCTCGGGCGGGAGCGCCGCCGCGCTTCCCAAGCGGCGCACTATCCAGTGCGCCACCGGGCCGGCCCAGAAGAGTCCCCTTTCCCCCGCATCCTCTCCAGCATTTGTTGTTCTCAGTCTTTTTAATAATGGCCAATCTAACTGGAGTGAGATGATATCTCAATGTGGTTTTGGTTTGCACTTCTCTAATGACTAGTGATGTCAATCATTTTTTCATACACCAGTAAACCATTTGTATGTCTTCCTTTGAAAAATGTCTATTCATCTCCTTTGCCCTTTTTTAATTGGATTATTTGTTTTTTTTCACTGTCTAGTTGTTTGAGTTCTTTATATATCCTGGATATTAATCCCTTGTCAGATGTATAGTTTGCAAATATTTTCTCCCATTCCATAGGCTGTCTTTTTGCTCTGCTGATCATTTCCTCTGCTTTGCAGAAGCTTTTTAATTTGATATGGTCCCATTAATTTATTTTCTTTCATTGCTTGTGCTTTTGGGGTCTTATTCATAAAGTCTTTGCCCAGTCCTACTTCCTGGAGTGTTCCCACCTTCCATCTTAAGGGAGAATACACAGGGGAAGGGAAGCATTGGTGAGGACCCACTGCAGCTGGGGGAGTGGTCCCTTGGGGACATGGTAGGACCTAGTTCCAGGCCCAGACCATTAGAGATCCCATATTGCTGGGGCCAGGGTGCAGACGCTCTCCTGCACAAGTCCCACCAAAAACACAAGGTACAGGGAGGAGTGGGCAGGATTGCAAAGACCCAGGATGCAGCAGGACAACAGGTAGCTCCCGTGTACCCCCACCACTGGTGGTGGGGCAAGACTATCCAAAATAATGAAAGACACCAAAGTACAAGAAACCAAGAAATTCAGAGAAAATGTAGCAGGATAAATACCTCAAAAAGCTCCCAGGTTATTCATGGTGTGGTCTGAGTCTGTGGATGTGTCTGCCACTCAACCCCACTGCAGCTTCATCTGCAAGTCTGAGGGAATGGGCTTCTGGGAGCCTTACCCAAATACTGCAACCCTCCTACCCCCAGCCAGGACTAGGGGTTGATATTGACACAGATGGGAAAGGGAAAGGGAAGGGGAAGGGGAAGGGGAAGGGGAAGGGAAGGAGGAAGGAAACAAGAAGACTCAAAGCCTCAAGAGTGCTGGTAGGCATGTTTTTTTGGCAGAAATGCTAGTGCTATGTTGGTTGACAGGGTTAGTATTAGTTTAATTATTCTTTTGTGGGTTGTGATCAGAGCTAATTGATTGGAAGTCAATTGTGCTCGCTAATACTAAAAGAATAGGATCCTGGCATGTGGACTGGAGAACCAGACCAAGTTGGTGAGGGAGAGGGAAGGAGGAGAAGGGGAAGGGAAGAGGGGGAGGGGGAGAGGGGGAGAATCAGGGCAAAGGTGTAGACAGTTATAATGGCTTTCAAATTCCTGGTTTCATTTTGTTCCTGAGATTCAACTGCAATCCCCTGTAGAGGTTTCATGAGACACCAATATATGCTATTTTTATTTTTAAATAAGTCCCTCTCCTTTGTTCCCCCCTTAAAGAAACTTCAATTTCTGGAGTCCTAGGTTAACATGATTCAGTTTCTTCTCATAATAACTCTAAAAGGAAGATATTATTTCCATTTTAAAGGTGAAGAAATGAAATCTGTGATTGAAAAGATGCCATTAGCAAGCACCTCCCCATCTAGCTGGGAAGACTCCCTTAGGATGCACACATGTGGAGAAAGCCTAGGGCCATTTCTTGGAGAAGTTCTAGAAAAGGCCTCCTGGATTCATTCTATTCTAATCTTGTAGTCTTGGGACAAATCTAAAAAAGACCTCAGGATGCTGAAATACCCCTAAAAATGTACACCTGAGGCATAGCCAACAACTACCAAGATGGAGTGATTCCCTGGCACATGCCCCTAGCAAAAACCAGTTGTTCCAGTTCTTACCAGAACACTTATCCAAGCCTTTCTACTTCCAATAATTCACCTCTAGTGTTAGGACCTTACTAGAACGCTAAATCTACATGGAGGAAAATATCTAATTTCTTAAAAATCTGAAGACTTACTCTGTGCCAGGCATTGTACTAAGTGTTTTATATTCACTGACACAGTAAAAGAGAAACCAGGAGAGAAAAACCTGGCTGGACAACACCCAAGTCTCTCAGTTAATGATTACACTATACTGCCTTCTCCCAGGCACCAAAAGTTAATCACTTTAGAAATTTTTAGGGTCCCCGCCCCAACAAGTACCAGATTATCAAAACTAATCAACAAGTAGAAAAATATGTAAAGGTCTCTGGGGCTATACTTCTAAATCATCCGGACAGTAAAAAAAATCAAAAACAAAACAAAACCCTTCTAACCATATTTTTTCACCAGGCTGAGGAACAATTACTTGGCAGCTAGCAGTAAATTCTGTTCTCATATTTTCTAGTTGAAAGTAACTGAAAAAAATTCCCTTCTCTCTGAAGCATACGTTTGATGACTCACCATATAAGGAAATGAGAAATTCTAAGCTTTTCAGCCTCACCCTTCTTTTCTGAGTACTAAAATCTCATTTGGAAGTTAATATCATAATGTTATTTTAAAAGTAAATTCATCTGTGGAAGAGCCAAACTAAGTAAGAGTATTACTAAGTTTTGAGGAACATTTAAAGATTTGAATTTTGTTACACTCTGAACAGGAGAAAACAAAAAAGCCTTTCTTTAAATTGTTAAAAATGTCCCTGGCGAAAGACAGGTAAATTAAAAATACTTGGTAATTTGTTAAAGATTAGTCTATATAGGGATGGCCGGTTAGCTCAATGGGTGAGCGTGGTGCTGACAACACCAAGTCAAGGGTTAAGATCCCCTTACCGGTCATCTTTTAAAAACAAAAACAAAAACAAAAAAAAAAACCAAGAATAATTTTTATTAAGTTTTTTGAATCAAATTATACAAACTAATATTCTTATTTTAAATTATAATGATGTTAATGGTATCTCCATAAAGGACTCATCAAGGGTTACAAAACGGCATCCTTAAAAGCTGTTTTAGAAGCACATCCATTCATCCATCAGACATTTACTGCACTCTGTGGAGACAGATGTGGTCATTGGTTTCAAAGAGTTAACGATAACTGCGAGGCAATGTGTAGGACTATTATGAGACTGCTGTTATACGAAGACATGTGCAGAGATTTACTGGAAATAAGTGAAACAAAAGGACCAAAGACAGTGTTTTGAGAGAAGGAGAGGGCACGGGGAGGTGGTAGTGGCAGATGGGGGTTGATAAGTTTCCTAGAGTGTGAATGGAACTTGGGATATTCCTTGGGGCAGTGGTGGGAGATGAGGCTGCAAAGGGAGATCCTCTCTAAATCACCATGATCTTGTCTGCAAGGGAGAGACAACCCCTAGTGGGTCAGTCTGCACCTTGGGAAGGTCACCCTGATGATGACAGTGAAGACAGTACGAAGGCAGAATCCAATCAGAGGCTTCAGGAGCCCAGGTAAGGGGGAATGAGTCTGGTAGGAATAACAAGTTTTTTGTCTTGTTTTTGTGACTAATAATGAGTAATAAGTATTAAATATTTATAAGAACAACAAAAAAGGAATAATATCTAACAATGTGAAATGGTAACATTATGACTTATCTAAGTGTTAGAAGATAAGTCAAAAAAAAGTCTTTCTGACATTTAAAAACATAGTATACAAAACTATGTGCTGTTCATTAAACACACCCAAAAAAGGGAAGGAAATTCATCCAAATGACAGCACTTATCTACACAAGGGGGTTAGAGAAAGCTTTATAGGTGAGTCATCACAACAAAGTGTTTGGGAACACAAATTCCGTATCAGACAAATCTAGGTCTACATGCAGGCTCCAATACTTATTAGTTGTGTGACCTGGACAAACAAGACTCTCAAAGTCTTAGTTCCTGACCAATAAAAGAAAACAATATTAATATTTAGCTATAGAGTTATGAGGATTAAATAAGCAAATATATATAAATCTTACACAGTGATAGGTGCTGAATGAAATATTAGCTACAACCTATATTTTTTTTAAAAAAGTCTATGTTTTCAAAATTTCTATAACAAACATTATTTTTATATAAATCTTACACAGTGATAGGTGCTGAATGAAATATTAGCTACAACCTATATTTTTTTAAAAAAAGTCTATGTTTTCAAAATTTCTATAACAAACATTATTTCCATAATCAGGAAAGAAAGTTGTTTATCAAGAGATGAAGCCCTTATTAAAGCATAAAGAGGTATAAAAAACCTCACAGGATTCATGCATCAGAAAGGGAAAAAAGCGAGTTATGGATAGAATTTTGTTTCTCCACTTTATATATTCTTCTATACGTAACACATTCTTGTCACTGAATGGGAAGAAAAATGAAATAAATATTGACTTACTGGTTTCCTAAGGAAGAAGACAGACAAAGCTCCGACTAAGGGCATGTCTCCGATCAGTGGTTCCAGGATCACCCGCATTGTACCATGAATCTAAATGCAAACAGGAAACCAAAATATGTAACAGAAAACAATTCTGCAGGGCTATTCACTCAATGCAAGGAGTTTGCACAAGAATCTTAGTGACTTTTGAGCATCTGGCTTTGTTTCTCTCAACTATGACCTACAAATAAAAACTTCACTTCGAAACAATTCTAAGCCAGTAACTTCATAATTTTCTTTCTGAATATAACTTAGAGAACTTAAGAAGACTATGAAATTAAAAAAATAAAACTTACCTGTATACTTTTCACACCAGCTCTACAAAAATATCGTTTGATCTCCAAATCAATCTCACAATTTCCTACAAAACTAGCAAAACAAAAATTCTGCATTATATAAAGTGAGTAAAATTATTCTCATAATCACCATAGACCTGCAAGGTATAGGAGGTATAATCTGAATAAAACGACAGTAAAGTAACAAAATTAGGTTGTAGGTGAAAACTGTAAAATGCGGCCCTTATTGCAGTATTTTACTGCTCCAGGTCGCAGAGTGAAACTTGGAATCCTTGTTGGGGCAGTGGTAGGAACTGCTACAATACCTGTGAGGATATACACGTCTGAATCAGCCTTTTGATGGACTATAGTTTTCATTGGCCTTACAAATCCTATGTTTGATTAAAACATAAAAAGTTTAGATTTTACTTCACCACAAGAAAATTTCAGACCCTTGTTCCCAACCACAAAAAATTCACAGTGCCCCAGGACTCTGTGACATCAAAGGTTAGAAACAGTGCATTTGTTTGGGGCGTCAATTTTATTCAATGATTAAGTCATTTCAAACATTAATATGAAAAACATGAATGCACTACAATGTTAAATGCGAGGTTTGCATCTATTTTTATATAAACATGAAATATCAAATACCTTGTGCATGGGGTAGTGCACGATCTGACCCCTATCCTTGACGTAGGACATCACATTCTCACTGGAGAACATTTGTGGAGAGTTTTGATAAATACTGGCAAGGAGTGCTAAGCAGATGAGCAAAACAGTAACAAAAGGATCTGGATGAAACTCTCCCAATATTTATTATTCTGGTGTTAAAGCCAATACTTACAGATTCTTATATTTGAGAATTATTTTCCACCTAGTTGGTAAAATAACCAAAAAACTTTTATAAAACCATCACAAAACATTCCTCTTTTTCACCCTAAGACTTGATCATATTATTTCCTAATACGTTCCAATTACTCCTTCCCCCTCTCCACTGCCAATTTAGTTAAGATCCTTGTCAGGAACACACAAAAAAGTGGAATGCATGTTTGTTTAGAGACATAAATATCTAAGCAGGATATTTTGCATACATTGTTATGACTGCTAAAAACCACAAAAGCAAGACTGCATCTTCAAAATGATTCATCAAATATTTATTTAATAAATGTGTCTGGAATACTCAGTGCTGGGGACACTGTATAATAGAATAAGGTTTCTATCCTCACAAAGGCCCTTCCAGGGCACAGGCTAACTTTTTCCACTGATGACGACCGTGTTAGCACTAGTGCCAAATATTTTAAAGATGCAGATTTTTCCATCTTAGATTAAAGACACCCTGTGCTTCTTTCTAAAATAACTGGTACAAACTCTGTACATTTGCTATATTAATGTCCTTTGGAAACTCAAAGATGACATAAAATCAGATGATCTTTAGTCAAGGATCAAAAACAGAAACACAACTCTAAGCTGCTGAAAACCACACAGCTGCTGAGCCCACAGCATTCAGCAGTAACCACATACACAGTGTGATATCAGGAAGCCATGAGCAACTTCAAGTAAGAGGGAGGACAAGAAACAAGGAAACCACCTTTATCATGCAGGCATGGTATCTGGCAGACATTCCATTTTTTCCCCTCTGTCTTTTTTATTCTGTTAAAGGTACACACAGCATAAAATGTACTATCTTAACCATTTTTAACCGTGCTGATCCATTCTTCCACTGATGGACACTTGCTATGAATGTGGGTATGCAAATATCTACTCAAATTCCTGCTTTCAACTCTTTGGGATATATACAACATTCGTGAAGTTGCTGAATTATACAGTAATTTTATTTTTAAGGTTTTGGAGAACTGCCAGACTGTCTTCCACAGAGGCAGTACCATTTTACACTCCCACTATTGATGCACAGGGCTCCAATGTCTCTGCGTTCTCACGAACACCTGTTGTTTTCTGGGTTTTTTTGATAGTAGCCATCCTAATGGGTGTGGGGTGTTACTAAGGTTTTGATTTGCATTTTCCTAACAAGTAGTATGTTGAGCATCTTTTGATGTGCTTACTGGCCATTTGTATATCTTCTCTGGAGAAACATCTATTCAATTCCTTTGCCCATTTTTAAGTAGAGCTGTTTATTTTTTCTTGGGTTTCATGAGTTCTTTATATATTTTGAACATTGATCCCTTATCAGATTGATGATTATAGGGGACACATTAAATTTGTAGACTGCTTTAGAAGGATTGACCTCTTAACAATATTAAGTTTTCCAATCCACAAACATGGAATATCTTTCCATTTAGTTGTGTCATCTTTAATTTCTTTCATAACATTTTATAGCTTTCAGTGTATAAGTCTTTCGCTTCCTGAGTTAAGCTTATTCCTAAGTATTTTATTCTTTTTTATTCTATTATAAATGGAATTGTTTTCTTAATTCTTTTTTGGATTGTTCATTCTTAGTGTATAGAAATGCAATTGATTTTTGTGTGTTGACTTTGTATTCTACTACTTTGCTGAATTTATTAGTTTTAATGGTATTTTGTGGAATCTTTAGGGTTCTCCACATATAAGATCATATCTGCAAACAGATGATTTTATTTCTTCCTTTCTAATTTGAATATCTTTTATTTCTTTTTCTTGCCTAGTTTCCCTGGCTAGGACTTCTGGCAGGATGCTGAATGGCAGTGGTGAGAGAGGCATCCTTGACTTGTACCTGACCTTGGAGGAAGTGTTTTCAGTCTTTCACCTTTGAGTGTTTGCTGTGGGTTTTTCATATATGGCTTTTATTACGTTGAACTAGTTTCCTTCTATTCTTAATTTGGTGAGTGTTTTATCATGAAATGGTGCTGCATTTTGTTAAACACTTTCGCTACATCAACAGATAATCATGTGGTTTGGGTTTTTTCTTTCTATTAATGTAGTGTATTATGCTGAATGATTTTCATATGTTAAATCATCCTTGCATTTTAAGAATAAGTCCCACTTGGTCATGGTATATAATCCTTTCAATATGCTGCTGATTCAGTTTGCTAGAATTTTATTGAGGATTTTTGCATCAATATTCATATGGGATACTGGTCTGTAGTTTTCTTTTCTTGTAGTGTCCTCCATTTTTTTTATTTAACACATTTTATAAATGGCAATTATCTAGGCTATCAGGAATTGAGACCCAGAAGGTAAATAGCATTTAGATCTCCAACAAGAATTTAGTCAAACCCCAACGAACAGGCAGTAAGAAGTGTGCTCATTATATCCTCCACCTGATGGGTATGTCTAAGTGACATTAGATGTTAGCCACAACACAAACATAACACAATAAAAACTTACCTAATCTGAAGGTCCAGAATAATTTGCCTTTTATCTACATTTTCGGTATACACCTTAACACCATTGATCCTGATGGGCTGAAATAAGAAATAACTTATTTTAAAATACAGGGAGGTAAAAAAACAAAGAAAACCCACAAACAGAAAAACTCCCAAACCTTGACATATACCATAGCACTGAAGAAAGCAAGCTTTAGCATCAGACTACAGGAATTAAAAATCTTTTACAACACAGCTATTTGACTTTCAGCAAGTTATTTAACCTCTGTGCCTTCATTTCCCCACTTGTAAGATGCAGATAGCAATGGTATCTATCATGAGATTATTGTGAAGTTAAATGACATTGCTTGACACATAGTAAGTACTCAAAAAACATTAAGTATTACTGTTGTTAACACATGTAATAATATATACTTCTGTTCTCTTCTCCAAGCCCTTTTCTCCCCTTGTCTCTTCTAATTTAATCACATCATTTCCCTCTACTCCATCCTTACTACATAATTTAGAACATTACTTCTTTTTATTTTTTATGTCTTGCAATTTTTCATTTCTTAAGATTTTGACAAAAATGGGACTTATTAAAAATATAAGCTGTAGGTATAGTATCAATACGTAATATATGATACAGGTAAATGACTCTATGAAAAGAAAAGGCAGATTATAATAAATGCTATATTTCAAGGGCCCAGTTATAGCATCATTTCAAAACCTTTTCCTATTTATCAATTTGGGATCCCTTGTAAAAAAGTTCTCACATTTCATGTGAGCATTAAATATTTGAGATAAAGATACACCTTACCTTTTAGAGTACTACTGCTTACTTTAACAAGTTTGTTTCCTAAAATCTCACCTCTCAACTAGCAGCAGAATTAAACTCTAAGCCTTTACTTGAGTTTATACATTCCTTACTATCCCAGGTTCCCAGGCTTTTCCTTTATGACACTATCTAAGACATGTACAGACTGACCAATCACTAAGAAACACAATCAACCCACTATGCTGAAAAATGAAAATGGGGCCCACATCCTTAGTATGTTTACTTTAAGTGTTTGCATTAGATAACATATCCTCCTTCCTCCACGTGAATGACATCTTAGTTTTAGAGAGGCTGTGAGACCAGCCCTATTCCAGATGACTAACATCTGTCTAATGAAGGACAAATACCTGAGGGCACAGAATCTAACTGCATAAGGGACTTGACAGGCACCTGCCATCCCATCTGTTCCTTCACCAGACAGCCTGGGTCTGCCTGCTACTTCTAAGATATCACCGAAGTAGATAACAATGCCCAAACTACCTTCACTGCATCAGCACACTCCATAAAATTCTTACTGTTCTCCAAGGACCTTCTTATTTAGTTGGTATCAAACTGAAGATGTGTATAATAACAGAACATGAACTGATTAAATTCTTCCTAAAGTGAACACATCTGGGGTTAGAATTTTAAGTTACAAACATGAGCATACCTGACGTTAAGGGACAGCAAACTATGGTCTTCAGGTTAAATGTGTCTTCTGGCCTGTTTGTGTACGGCCCTGACTAAGAACGGTTTTCAGCTTTTTAAAGGGTTGTAAAAGAAGGAAGAGAGAAGAGAACACGTCACAGAGACTTTATGTAGCTGTCAATAGCTAAAATATTTACTCTCTGGCCACTTACAGAAAATGTTTGTGGCCCCTGCTTCATAGCATTTTAACTTGTAATTGCACTTTTAACTTGTATTCACATTGCATATTAACTTGTAATTGTGTTTTTTCCCATTTGTTATCATTTTAAGTTATGGAAGGTAAAGTAAATATTAAAAGTGCCATACAGACATCCTGTATAGGCACTCGGGCATGTCATGTATTTGGAGACCTCGAAGCTAAGAAAGGAAACAGCCAGCACAGTAAGTACCAAGGAGGAGTCTGCACTGGAGGCACTGGATTTGGAATAACTGCAGATGAGATGGAACATTCTCTGCACATGGAAAATCAGCTTTGATAAGGGAAGGTGACCAGCAGCTTGGAGAATGTCGGATGGCCACTGACATCCACCAGCAGGTGACACACACACAGCAACCAGGCCAGACACTCCCTAAGCCACATCTACGACAACTCTGAACTGTACTGTACAGTGATGTCTGCTATATGTGCACTAGTGTGTGTAAACTGTGTGTTTAAAAGTACTATCAGATTCTAAGATTTTATTAGGCATATGAAACAATGTTACCTTAAATTATTGCTAATTATCGTAAACATGACCTAAAAAATTGAATAAAAAAGGAAACTTGCCATGATCAACTAATTGAAATGTAATCTTGAGGCTTTTATAAGTGATATTAGGAACTAGCAGCTTTCCCTTTTTATTTTTTTATTTTTTTATTTTTATTTTTTTTGTCTTTTTGTCTTTTTCTGTGTC